GATATAGGAGGAAACTTCAAGTGGTGAGAACCTGAAAGCAGCCATAAAGATGGTGAGAAGGGGGAACTCAATTTATTGGAGAAACGTTTTCTAGTAAAATTGACAGAATTTGGTAGGATAAGAAACTCATGAAGGGCTATTCCCAGGTTTCCAGGCAGGGAATTTGGGAGAATGGCAATGCCATGAATTCTCAGTTAGCATCCAGCCCGTGCATTAGTGGACTTAACTTCCCCTCTTTCCCCAGTTTATAGGGAGTAGTACACCGAGTTTTCTTTGATCTATAACTATAGTAAAATCATGTGAGGCAGAGAAAAATGGAACCAGCTTAAATACACCAACTTTTGATTAGAGTCTCAATATAGCATCTTTCATTCTATATCCTTTCATTTCCACGTCCATAGCGCATCTGTTTTTCAACATAATTTGTTATATTACTGTTATGTTGCTATTTCCCATTCTACTTAATTCTCTTCTGTTCAGTGTTATTAATGATACAGATGGTAAACAGGAGGAGATAAGGAACAGAGGAAGGCCCGGAATTGGGTGATGGGGATCACGGGGTGACAGGAGCACGTGTGCTGTGTGCACCAGAGCCTCTGCTGGGCCTCCAGTTTTCTTCACACCAAAGCACGGAGAACTTTAAGCTGTTGGGATCACAGCTGGTGAGAAATCATGTTTGGCAAAGAAGTACACCAGTCTGCTCTGGGTCAAAAAAAAAAAAGGCTATTTGACTCTAAATAGTCTTTTCTTCTTTGGGGAGTTATGACAGAATTGAACAGGAATTTTCTTGAGCTGAGACTGAGGAACAAAATAAATTGGTCTAGACAGTATTGAAGGATTTTATTTTAAATCTTGCCCAGATGCTGCTTGCACGGGGGGAAAAGCTGAGATAACTGACGACTGATCACCTTTTCCCTTTCTGAGAGCATTAGTCTTTTTCAAGGAAAGGAAAAATGAATTTACCAGTTGACTATTTAGGCAGTAATGGTGGTTTCCTTTCAATCTTTAATAAGAAACTCAAAAATTTAACCTAGGCTTTTTAAGTAAACATTTCTTGAGATGTTAATGAAACACTTGTCTTTTTCATTTTATTCAACAGTTTATTCTGCGAACATTTACTGAGTGCCTACTGCATGATAGGCCGCTGTGCTTGTTGCTGGAAGTCACAGCTTAGTGATAAACTCAAATAGGTTAAAAATAAAACAGTGTGAGAAATGCCGTTATGCTCTGGAGAAATGGAGATAGATTTATGAAAGGCGTAGAAGCAGCAGCCCTGGAATCTGTCTAGAGGGGCAAGAGAAGGCTTCCCAAAGAGGTGCCATCTACCCTGAATCTTAAAGGTGGAGCAGAAATTTGCCAGGAAGGAGGGAGGGATGCTGAGAATGTGTGCATGTACAAGGAACATGACATGTGTGACCAGAGTGTTCCAGGAGCTTCTGAAATCATTAATATGCATATGTATCATCTTTTTCTTCCAAATCTCTCACTTACTGCAGTGGTTCTCAGCCTTGGCCACACACTAGAATCACCGAAAGAACATTTCATTTTAATACCCTGACTGGGCCCAATCCCAAACTAATTGAATCAGAATTGGGGAGTGTCTTAGGGGGTGGGGCCTGGGCTTCTGGGCTTTTTAAAAGCTCCCCAAGGTGTGCATGCAGCTAGGGTTGGAGCAATCCCTTGTTCCTGTCACACCTGTTCCCTTACCTTTCAGAGACCTCTGACCCCTTGGCCTTTTCCTTTTCCCCTAGCTCTTCACCCTCTTCCCGGCTCCGTCTCCTGCCCTCTTCAGGCCAGATCCTGGAGTGCATTCCTCACTGTTCACATCTGACACCTTAATCATGTCCCCCTCTGTGCCTATTTCTTTCCTTTTTAAAAATCCCATCCCAAAGGTTGCCTTTTCATTTTCTGTCTGACTTACTTCACTCAGTATGACAATCTCTAGGTCCATCCATGTCACTGCAAATGGCATTATTTTTTTACTTCTTTATGGCTGAGTAATATTCCATTGTATATTTGTACCACATCTTCTTTATCCATTCCTCCGTTGATGGACATTTAGGTTGCTTCCATGTCCTGGCTATTATAAATAGTGCTGCAGTGAACATTGGGGTACCTATATATTTTCGAATTACAGTTTTCTCCAGAAATATATCCCCAGGAGTGGGATTCCTGGATCATATGGTAGCTCTATTTTTAGTTTTTTAAGGAATCTTCATACTGTTCTCTATAGTGGCTATACCAATTTACATTCCCACCAACAGTGTAGGAAGGTTCCCTTTGCTCCACACCCTCTCCAGCATTTATTGTTGTAGATTTTTTTGATTCTGACCAGTGTGAGGTGATATACCTCACTGTAGTTTTGACTTGCATTTCTCTAATAATTAGTGATGTTGAACATCTTTTCATGTGCTTTTTGGCCATCTCTGTGTCTTCTTTGGAGAAATGTCTATTTAGGTCTTCTGCCCATTTTTTGTTTGCGTTGTTTGTTTTTTTGATATTGAGCTACATGAGCTGTTTGTATATTTTGGAGATTAATCCTTTGTCCATTGCTTCGTTTGCAAATATTTTCTCCCATTCTGAGGGTTGTCTTTTCATCTTGTTTATGGTTTCCTTTGCTGTGCAAAAGCTTTGAAGTTTCATTAGGTCCCATTTGTTTATTTTTGTTTTTATTTTCATTACTCTAGGAGGTGGATCAAAAAAGATCTTGCTGCGATTTATGTGAGAGAGTGTTCTGCCTATGTTTTCCTCTAAGAGTTTTATAGTATCCAGTCTTAACACTTAAGTATTTCATCCATTTTGAGTTTATTTTTGTGTACGGTGTTAGAAAATGTTCTAATTTTATTCTTTTACATGTAGCTGTCCAGTTTTTCCCAGCACCACTTATTTAAGAGACTATCTTTTCTCCACTGTATACTCTTGCCTTCTTTTTCATAGATTAGATGACCATAGGTGTGTGTGTTTATCTCTGGACTTTCTATCCTGTTCCATTGATCTATATTTCTGTTTCTGTGCCAGTACCATACTGTTTTGATTACTGTAGCTTTGTAGTATATTCTGAAGTCAGGGAGCCTGATTCCTCCAGCTCTGTTGGCTCAGAGTTTTTATCTGTCACATCCAGGGTATAAAAGCCACTTAAATATTAACTCACCAAGAAATTTTGATGGTATTCTTTCTTAAAATGTTTATAATTATAAGCAGAGTAAAAAAAAAATTCTCCCTAATAACATTGCTAGGATATAGTATCTAACATCGTAAAATAGCCTCATAGCAATTTTTTGCCATACCTTCTAAAAAGCCAGCAGATTGCCAGATTTTTTATAATAATGTCACTCTAAATACCCAGAAGTCTAAGTGTAATTTTCTCTTGTGTGCCTATGTTATGGTTGTGTGTCTGAGGGAAAACTTCATGTGGGTTCAATATGGACCCTTTTCATATCAAATACTGCTCTGGAGTGAGGTTGAATTATAAATTGAAATATGTTTTCTGTAAAATGGTAGTAGTAGCCAAAACAGTATACATTTTTGTTTAAAATTTAGTCATCAGAATAGTGTTTAAAAGGGAAAAACAAACCAGATTCTCAATGAAGCCCAAGTGCAGTAGGTGCTGGGTAAGCAGGAATCCTTATAAATAATAATTCTAAAGAATGGGGCCCAAAGTCTAATCACTTTGGGTTACAGCCTTAGCTATCTCTGTGGGCCATATGGTCATTCTTTCGTAAATATGGACACTGCCTGGAGTGTACAGATGTTCCCTAGCTTCCAAGAAGCACACAGACTCTAGAATCAGTGGGTGACTCTTTTCTAAAATAGCTCATCCTGAGTATCAGATGATGGAAAGGGATACCTCTAAGCTTCCAACAGTAGAACATTCTTACCTTCCTTCCCTGCGGAGGTCTCTGTTTTGCCTGGTGGAGGAAGGAGGGAGTTGTCATAGTACAATTTCAGGAATGTTGGGAGCTGTGCTTTGGTTCATCTACTGCTGGTGTAGAGCCCACGGAGGTCTCTGGAGGGCAAGGGATCAGATAAGAAAGAAGTCATTCCTTATAGACTGAGAAATCTGAAACCTTAGAAATTCTTGCTGATGAATTTTATTCCCTTCTAGTCTGAGAAACCTTTCTCTCTTCCTAGCAAGAGACGCATGGAACAAATCACTGATGGTGTGAACAATATTTGAGATAAATGCAACTGTCAGATAATTTCCTAGGAGTTCTGCAAGGGCTTGTGGTGACTGCAAACCGCTGAGTCTGTGTTTTAATTCAGTGGAATATATTCAGACTCCTTTGGGGAGTCTAACACGTCTTTAGCCAAGGGCTCAATGCTACATTATTAGTAATAGTTTTATGTGAGTATGTATGTTCTTGAGCAATTAAGCCATTTCTCCAAAATTTCTGTTTAGTACAAACAGTAAGCCCAGGTCAGAAATGGTCACAAGACATTATCAAACTCTAATGGAGGTTTGATTTTTCCTGGTGTTCAGAACACAATTTCTAAACATGGTGAAGAAAAATTACCTTGGATGTATGGTGCTTCGTTGAACAGTGACCTTTCAGGTTAATTAAGAAAGCTGGAGCCCCAGAGGATTTTTGAGCAACTTTTTTGTTGCCTGAGGGAATGACAGAATAGAAATGTGATGTAAATGTTTAGAAAGCGGATGATTTGCAAGGTTGTGAAAAAGCGAAGACCAGCTGCTGGAAGAAAATGCTTTTATATGATTTCAAAAGAGAGATACTTTTTTACTTTAAGTAAAATTTGGACCCTCAGACCTCCTAGCTTTTCTATAAATTGGCTTTTGTGTATACACATTAAGCCTTTTATTTGCTCCTGTTTAATGTATGAGCAAACGTTGAAAAGAGAGAGGAAAATGGGTCTGTTCTACAAAACTGCAACGGAAGCATTGGTTCTTTCAATTTTCTGTATAGAAATGTTTGCTCACTCTCTATGCTAAGTAGTTTAATCATGCCAGGCGTCTAATGACCAGTTTTCTTTTTTTTTTCCAGCTGACTCAGGTGTAGACACTTTGGCAGTGTTTATGGCCAGCAGCGGAACGACAGACGTCACGAATCGGAATAGCCCGGCCACACCACCAAACACCCTTAATCTCCGTTCGTCCCACAATGAATTGTTGAACGCTGAAATAAAACACACAGAAACCAAGAACAGCACACCCCCCAAATGCAGGAAAAAATATGCACTAACTAACATCCAGGCGGCGATGGGCCTCTCGGATCCGGCTGCACAGCCCCTGCTGGGAAATGGCTCTGCCAACATCAAGCTGGTGAAAAATGGAGAGAACCAGCTCCGGAAGGCTGCAGAACAAGGGCAGCAGGACCCCAACAGAAACGTCAGCCCCACTGCAGTCATCAACATAACTTCTGAGAAGTTAGAGGGTAAAGAGCCCCACCCACGGGATTCCTCGGGCTGCGAGATTTTACCCTCCCAGTCCCGAAGAACCAAGAGCTTCCTGAATTACTATGCAGACCTGGAAACCTCAACCAGAGAACTCGAGCAGAACTTGGGAAACCAGCACGGGGCTGTGGAAGAGAAGGCCCAGCCAAGCCAGAGCCAGGCCTCCACCGTCGCTGGGAATGGCGACGTACTGCTGCAGAAACCAAACAGACCCCAGTTCAGCCCTGAAGATGGCCAGATAGCCACCGTATCATCCAGCCCGGAGACCAAGAAGGATCACCCTAAAACGGGGGCCAAAACTGATTGTGCACTCCACCGGATCCAGAACCTGGCACCGAGCGACGAGGAGTCCAGCTGGACGACCCTGTCCCAAGACAGTGCCTCCCCCAGCTCCGCAGATGAGACAGGTACCTGGGAAAGGTGTAGCCTACGGTGGTACTTTGTTTTGGTGTTTTCCCTTATTGATGGAATTAATCTCTACACTGACCCCCTCCCCCAAATTTTCATCTGCAGGTAGAGAAGAACATGAGCCTCTTGGGGTAAAATTGGGCAATGTGTGTGAAAATATCATTAGATTCCTCAGCGGTTTCATTTTGATTCATACATAAGTTGTTTGTCCCGGGAAGCATTTTTGTAAAAGAAATAGCTCCCCGGTGTTAAGTACAGTAAAACATCACCTATTTAGCAACTATACTGCCAGTGGTTAGGTGAACTATTTCTATATACTATGTAGAAATGCTGGGTTTTGTTAAGGAAAATAATAAAAGGGAGACACTTGCTGGGGGCAAGATATAACCTGAAAAAGAGAACCAAGTATTTTAAAATTCTCTGAAAAAACTTTATTTATGCTCAAGCTAATGAAAAGTTTAAGGTTTAAAAAGTTGAAAGTCTATTCATTAAAGACATTTCCTTTTTGACCTTTACTGGGGAACATTTTATTAGCCTTGTTCAAGTGATATTTGAAAGTGAGAAAGTAGTGTTTCTTTTAACATATATTTAGAAGTTTTGGATTTTAACTAGTCTAGTTGAGACCAGTCTTTCCTAACTTTTGTCTCTATTTTGTAACATCTTTGGATTTTTCAGAGGAGTGAAAATTGTCACAGAAATGAACAGGGTCCTAAAAATCAGCTACTCTTAATCTTATCTTCTCATAGCCCCTATTTTACTGATCATGAGGTTAAAAGACTGGAGAACTGTATTGTGTCTGAATTCACTGTAAACAAGCACTCACAAAGGCTTATTTCTTTAACCTAACCCTGCCTCTGGTGGATCCCAGGGCTCTGTTAATGTGATACAGATGTAACAGATAGAACCACCAGGGAAGGAACTGACATTTTACCCACCTATAAGGCAGAGAAATTACAAGGACTACAGATGGGAAAAGAGGAGAAAGTAAGACATTAACTTGTTTAAAAAAACAAAAAAAAAAGTGGTTTTGAAGTGCCCTTTAAAACCAGAGTGCTTTAAATGATAGATTTCATCAGCCTCCTGTAGCTGGATGTGGCAGTAGAGAGGTTGAGATGAGCCCATTTCATCTCAGAAATGCCTGGATCTGCACATTATTGGAATCGTAATTATGTATAGTAATGTCACTGAGTTCACAACTCTCTATTACTTTTCACATTTAGAGACTTCATATCCTGTAGCCGATGGACACTGTCACCTGCTAGTGTTTGAATCTATATAAATGGCTCCTTGAGTGTCTCACATTCAAACTCAACCTCGTGTGTCCAGCGCCCTCCACTGAGGCCACACTGTCTTCCTCACGTCGTGGCAGCCTTTCTGCTGCTCTTCCAGGCCCTGTGCTCCCTTTTGTAGCTATATTTTAAATTTTACTGAAAGGTATTAAGTAACAGTAAAGTCTGTCTCCTCGGTTCCTCACTCTGGCCCCCTTTTTTCCAGTGACAACCACTACTTTTTTTTTAGTTGTTTTTTTTTTTTCAGAAACCATTTTAGGCATGTACCCACATTTATAATAAATATTCAAATTTACCCAAATTTTATAATGATATTTTTGAAGAGTCCTTACCATTTAGAGATACATACTAAAATATTATAGTATAAGATATTATACTATAATATAGTATATGGGATTTTGCCCATAAGCTGATCCTTGTTAAAGGTGGGTACATAAGGGTTTATTATTCTGTTCTCTCTCATTTTGTATGTTTAAAAATTTCCACAGTAAAAATTAAAACAAGAAAAAAAATGACACATTACATATTTTATAAATGCTTTGCTTTTTCCACCAAAGTATATATTTTGCAGATCAGTTCATATCAGGATATAGCATTTTTCTACCTCAGGCTGAATTTAAGTATTAAGCATGCTGTTCCACCCTCTTTAAGCTCCATGATTTATTTAATGATTCCCTCGCTGCTGAGTGTTTAGGGTATTTCTATCCCTGGCCCCTTCGCTTACTAAGTGCTGGTGTCAAAAAGGGCTGGTGGTGAGCACCAAGTTTATTTTTTATTTTATTTATTTATTTGGCTGCATTAGGTCTTAGTTGCAGCATGCGGGACCTTTTGTTATGGTGCGCAGGCTTCTCTCTAGATGTGGCGTGAGGGCTTCAGGGCGTGCGGGCTTAGTTGCCCCACGGCATGTGGGATCTTAGTTCCCAGACTAGGGATCGAACCCGCGTTCCCTGCATTGGAAGGCAGATTCTTAACCACTGGACCACCAGGGAAGTCCCAAGAGCACCAAGTTTAAACTGTACCTGTACACTGGCTTGGTCCACTGCCACTCTCTCCAGGGGGCCTTTCCAGGGTCCCCTCAGCTCACCACTCATTTGCTCGGTGTCCTGGTGTTACTTGCTGCTGGGGTTTCTCTACAGAACCCATTACAGGGCTTGGCATGTGATGTGAACTGGATTAGAGTTTTCTGACGTGTTGAGAGGATACATTCATTTTTCATTCTTAAAGTCGCTTTTGAAGACCTTGAGTTTTAGAGTAAGGATGGCAGTATGGTGATGGCCCATAATGGCTAGCTAAGGATAGACATTTTGAATCAGATGTGCTTGAAAAAGTGTGTTAGCTGGGACCCAACTCTCTGAAGCTGTGAGACTGAGTTTTTTACAAATGCTAGAAGCCATCCCTTCAAAATCATCACTTTGGGATCTTTATTTCAGCGTAATGCAATGCCTCAGAATATTAATAATATTTGGGAGTTCTTTTGGAATTTCCTTAGAGCCAGTTGTGAACTCCAACTGAAAAGACACCTCTTTACTTCATGATCACACAGATCACATAAATTAGCGAGTAAAATAAAATAATTGATTATTCAGCATTGGTATTTTTTTTGAGGTAATCTTTCCAGTGAAACATACTGTTAGTGTTCACAGTGATCACAGTCTTTTTTTTTTTTTTTTGCCACACTGTGTGGCACGTGGGATCTTAGTTCTCCGATCAGGGATCGAACCCATGCCCCCTGCATTGGGAGTGCGGAGTCTTAACCACTGGACTGCCAGGGAAGTCCCACAGTCAATTTAAATTAAACACTTCTAATGGTGAAGTCATTATTATATACGTTTTATATAGTATATATGAGTTTTTATATATATATGTAAAATAAACACAAAATACTAATTGTTGAAAGAAAAGAAATAAGTGCAAGTATTTTGTAAGATACTAGTATGCAGCACCATTTTACATATATACATATATACAAAGTGTACATACTTGCTTATTCACTGTGTGCTAAGCAAGTATTCATCACAGTGGTGTATGTTGTATGACTAAATCTTGACCCAGTTATCTTTGGATTGTAGACTGTGCTTTGGGGAGCCTGGAAAAATAAATAGACTCATTTCTACCTTAGGGGCACGCTTTCCAAGTTATAAAATATTTTTATAAAATGCTATTTATAAAATAAAATGCACTGCCCAGCCCAGAGACTGACCACTTGCTATTTCCCTTTCTTTCCGAATTGCCCACGTTGGCACGTTAGTAACTTTCTTTGCACAGTCAAACATGTATATATGTTTCTCCTCTTTTCCTCCTATGTCGTCTGTCCTTTGAGAAGCAAGAGGTTATTAGAAGCTGGGGGCGGTGGGGAAGCATCAGCGGAGTTACTGAGTTTCATAGGAACTTAGAAAAGTTCAAAGGAATGCTCTGACCTGGATTCTAAAAGAAAGTGTTGCATCATTTTGGTACTTGAAAGTGGGAACCTTAAGTCTGTTCAGGTTTTGCCAGAGATGCAGTCCCCTCAGTGGCCCCAGGTAAGCATGATGGCTCAGATAAATATAGGTTGGTCAGATTGTGTGTAGTCTTTCCATTAATCACCTGGTGTTTTATGTTTGCTTCATGAAAACTTCGGAAAGACACAACATTCTGATACTACCAGGGTACCTAGTTTATACCAACAGGTAACTTAGGTTTAATTTGGGGCTTAATAAAATTGAAGATACAAAGTATGAAACTGGGTGGATCTTGTGGAATAGCCATTTCAAAATTAGGTTCATTACTAAAGTGTACAAAGGCAGAATATACACCGAGAAAATCAAATCTAGGTGGTGCAACAGTGGGCCCAGTGCTGCATTAATTTATCATTGAGAGGATGGGCGCTAGAGTCAACTTCCTGAGTTCAAACCTCAGCTGGGTTCCATGTAGGCAATTTGCATAGCCTCTCAACTGCAAAATGGGGGTGCTAGTAGGGTTTTAGCATAGATCTGTTGTGAAGATTAAGTGAGAGCATCTCTGAAGAGCTCTTAGAACAGTGTCTGGCATATAGCAAGAGCTTAATAAATATCAGTGCTTATCATTATTAGTGATAATCATTATCCGTGCAGCAGTGAGATAAAAGTTTACTTCTCTCTTAATTACGGATTACCTATATTTTGGGCTCTGATTTTATTACATATTAAAAAAAATTTTTTTAATTGGAGTGTAGTTGCTTTACAGTGTTGTGTTAGTTTCTGCTGTACAGTGAAGTGAATCAGCTTTGTGAATACATATATCCCCTTTTTTGGATTTCCTTCCCATTTAGGTCACCACAGAGCATTGAGTAGAGTTCCCTGTGCTATACAGCAGATTCTCATTAGTTATCTATTTTATACATAGTGGTGTATATATGTCAATCCCAGTCTCCAAATTCGTCCCACCCCACCCCCCTTTCCACCCCTGGTCTGCATACGTTGGGCTCTGATTTTAGTTAGGACTTTCTGCATCTTCTAAGGGCAGGGATTGGTTTGTCTTCATCTTTATGCTGTCAGTGCCTGAAATATAGCAGGTAAACTTAGTAAATAAATAATGACTAATTGAATAAAAATGAAAGCTATCTACATATATCTCCAAATGGCCCTGATGTATTGAGTAAATCATTTAGTATTATATTTTAATCAATGCCTGATTTTGATATTGGGTACATATTTTTAACTTAATTGATGATATTGCCTCACAGTGGAGGGGGG